CTGATATGAAACATTCAGTACGTATTAAAATGTATGTTGATAGAATTAGCACTTACACTGTTCAACTATTACTCTAGGGGCATTACTTCAAAAAACTATCAACTATGTCCTGAGGTGGAATACTATGGTATCCACAGTCAGTATCTTCGGCTTATAGCTTATAATCAACTGTATTATATTTTAGACAATAGAATTAATAATTGGTAATATGTAGCTACAGCTTGATTCTATACTTTAAAAGTCACAATGACACACAATGAACATAAAAAATTCCAGACTAAGAGCAATTAAATCAAGAGTTCAAATATGTTTTGTCAAACTTCCAGCTAAAGAGATTTGAATGAAATAATAATTACTTCATTCAAATCTCTTATTTACCTCTACATTTAACACTTCTGAGTAAAAAAAATTTTTTGTACTTCATGTTTTTGCCAGAGCAAGGAAACTTTTCATTTCATGATGGTTACAATAAACGTTTCTAGGCCAAGAAAATAGGAAAACAACAATTTTAATAACCCCACTCCTTAGACTAACTGGCAAAAACGTCTCTTAGAAAGTGAATTTAAGCATTTCAAAATTCATCACTCTAATTGCTCCAAGTTATTCAATTCTCAAATGTTGGAGAATTTTTCTGGAGATGACTTCTAAAGAAATTCTCTACCTCTTCTTTTCATGTTCCTTTGGACACTGTGTTTAACAAATATGATAAAATACAGGATGCTACAGGATGAGTAAAAGTTTGCTCAAAAAGAGGTTTTTAATTATAAGATCGGAGATCAAATGAAACACTAGGCAAGATTGAAGCGGATTTCTAGATGTATACAGTGCGTACTTTTGATTTTGGGTTGGGATAAATTCTTTTCAAACTTGCAAAAGTAGTGTCCAGGTCAGCACGGTCCCATAGCTGACTGTGTCCCTTTAAGCTGCTCACTGTAGCAAACATTCAACCTTCTGTTGCTTACAAGAGCTATAGTAGAAGAGGTCTGAACTGTCACTAAAACTACCTTTGAGTGGTGTAGTGGAAAACACCACTTAAATATATGTAAAAGGCTGTGTAGAAAGAAAATTGATTCCCTTCTAATTGCATATATGACACAAGAATACCAAGTATAATTACCTAATTTGGGCAAATACAAGATCTGACCATGTGTCAAGGAGTCACTTATGGAAAGTTTTAACGAAGGAAAAGTATAAACAAACACACAAAAAGTGGCTGCCATTGCCTATGATGGAATGGTGCTTAAAAGAGTTTCCCACTCAAATGCTTTGACTGAAATAATTTTTGTATTTTTGGATAACTGCTTGCTTGCATGAGGTGGTTGCACATAGAAGGCCTTCTGATTGGGTGTGAAAATTGTTGGTAAATTTCCATGAAGTCACATTACATGTAAAAACTTGCAACAAAAAAGGTTTATTATGGGGCAAATTATGCCAATTACAAATGTATCTTTATGCACAATGGAACTTACTGGCAAATGACAAAATCATAGCCTCTTGACAACACATACATGTATATCACCCAAGCATTATATCAAATGTTCCAAACGACAAAAGGTTTTCAGAAACCATGATTGCAATATGTTTTAATCTTCTTTAAATTTGTCCATCCTGTACCTCCTATTAATATGATGAGCAGTTTTATGTTTCACTCAATTTGGTGGCAGGACTACTGTTTCAAATTTGATAAATTTCATGATAAAGCCCTTTTAAAATAGCATTTCTTTTATTTTGATGTTTTGTTCAAATAAAATAAATAATGTATTTTTTTAAAACATTGTCAGATTTCTTGTGGATTATGCAGTTGAAAGTGATTTGACATCAATAATTCGTACAAAAACCAGCACCAACATGTCAGGAAGACTTGCATACATCTTAGCATCATTATTCTCCAATGGAAACAAAATATTACATCCACATAAATTTCTATCTGTGATGAGCTATATTGTACAATTCATAATTATTTGTAACATTTTACTACTGAAAGGCAAGTAAATTATGGCACCTGGATGAATATTAAACAACTATTATTTACTGTGGTGGGTCTTAAACACATGTTAAAAGGATTAATAGTATGAGGGCTGGTAGAAAATTATTTTTTAGGTTGTGTTCACTTTACCCTCGCATAGTAACCTGTACCGGTGTTTTACGCGCATCATATTTATTGAAGAAGGGACAGATAATGAAATCTAATGGTTGCCTTAGCAGTCTTCATAAAAACTTTTATAGGAAGCCACACCAATTCTAAAAATAATTCTTGCTCCAAAGGAGCCATCAGAATTCAATTACCTGAGTACTCCATGACTAGTTCCTTATCATCAGATGACATATTCACAGGCACACCATTGAAAGCTGGCTCAGTAGTTGCTCCTGTAACCAACACAGGATGCCCAGGTTTACTCATGACTCTCTTCTTTGTACTTTTTTCTTCTACAACATTTTTTCCTGCAACAGCAAATGTAGCTTTCATCTCCCATGTCTATCATTTCTATACAATTTCACATGCACAACACTTTTTCGGCAATATAAGAATTTTATAAACACAAGCAACATAAGACCAGTTCAGATTTCAGGAGCCAAACTTAGGCTGACCCAAATTAACAGGAAAAAAAATAGGTAAATAAACTCCAGTCTACAGTGACTTCCCAGAACATTTAGAGAAAGCTTCTTGAAACAGGCTAAAATTCATCATACAGTGTATGCTCAGGAAAGGCTCTAAAGTGACTCCTTAAACTATCTTTGGAAGAATGGTTATTAACAGATTAAAGAACAAGTTTCAAAACCACCTTCTCTCAATGGTCACACATTAATTTAGCCTGGTGGGTAAAATTCTATGAAGGATGCATAGAATGTCCAAGTTTAGAATGCAAAAGAACTTTGCAGCACAAAAATGATAAAAATATATACAACATGGAAATTATTTCAAAAAGGTTTTAGATGCCATGCTATGTTTTCCCCCAAAATAGAACGTTTTTTGCTCAAAACTATGAGCTTATTCAGTGTCCAGTCTTCCTCCTGTGGTGTGCTATCAGGCAAGAGATGTTCCCGAACAGAGTCTTCAGCAAAAAAAAAAGTTGGCCCATCTTTTTCTTTTTGTGGCAACAGACAACAGGAATTGGTTTCAATGCCTAAATATGCTCTCATATAACAAAACTGAACCATTATTTTTGGAATTCAATTGATTCAAAAGACATTTTAGCTTCTTACAAAGGTAGGAAATAGTGTGATATAGCCCCTGTAAGGAAATCCTTTAGGTCCTCTTTCTTGCTACAACAACTAATCTTTATTATACTCTGATGACTGCTTTGAGTAGCCGGTTTGTCAGGCCATCAGCCTTTTTTTTTTTCGTTTAGCGTCGCATGTATTTCCTGATTTGGGCCAGTCGGTTGGTCGGATTGAAAATAAAAACCTAAAAAAAAACATCACAAGAAGTCTCAGAATAGGAAGCCCTGGTACCCTGGGATGACATTAAAAGTTAACATTTACATATTTCGATTAACAAAATGTATGATATACTATAAAAAATGTTCCTGTCTTTGGTCCTGTTTTCCTGTATGCTTTTACTATGCTCATTTTTCAGATTAAAAGAATTATTTCAAGTGAAAAATGGTTTAACTACGTTGTTACTTTTTTTTTGGAAAATGCCAAAAATTTGGGTCGGTCAGATGACAATAAACAGAAAAAAAACAGAGGATAGCCTTAGAGAGGAAACAGAAGTTTAGGAAGTAGATGCTAATAATAATGATAAATGCCACAATATGCTCAATGTTATGTTTGCTAAATCACCAATATATCACCTGTCTAATTAGCAATGTACTGACAAGAAAGAGTACAGATTTTTCTTTTCCCACTGTTCTAACTTAGACAGTTGAAGTACTTCTCACTTTGATTTGAAATTTTCTTTATGTTTTGTTCCTTTTTTAAGAAAAATGAAAGAATTCTTCATTTTTTCTGACACTGCTGTCCATTATTTTCTCCTGCTGCTTCAAGTAATCACTTTCTTACGACCAAGCCAGCTGTGTTAATATATGCTTACCTACGACAGAAAGACACTCAAGATAGTTTAATTTTTATCTAAAGATTTCCAAATTTTTATACAAAATCCACCCTCGTAGGCCAACACCAGCATGTATTCAAAAACCTCTTTGGAGAGTGTAGCTCACCTTAACAGACATACAATACTTCCAGTCTATATTACGATCAAAATTATCAAACTTAGTGGAGGTTCTCGAAAAAAACCTTCAGGTGTCTAGCCACAAAATGTTTGATTTCCCCGCTTAATCAAATGAAATCTCTCTTCGCGACGAAGAAGCTGTGCAAACGCTATAAAGTATTGCATTGGTTTTCAATTTTTTTTTCATCCTGAAAATAGTGACTACCAAAACTATGTCTTGTCTAAGACCGTAGAAAGTTCTTATCTTCTTGAAAGAAAAAATCAATAGAAATGTAAGAAAGCTATAAGCTAATATTTGAAACTATCGGTAGCCGCTTGCCTTCCGGTATGAATACATGCACGTTGTTTCACAAGCTTTTATTCTTATAATGCGTTTGAAAAAACATAAACTACTCTACACTAAGCTACGTAATGGCGGAAAGTAGAAGATAAATGACAAACTAATCTTCACCTATGGCCTTAAGGTATCGATCAAAGTTTTTAATTTCCCCCTCTATTTAAATCGAAGGCCCAAAGGGTGTGCGACGGCACCAGCAAATGTAAGCGAGTTAGTAACACACAATGGCGGATTTTTAAGTCAGTACGATGAGCTTCTAGCCCGAAATGTGACTAGTTAACAAGTAAATAAGGCTAAGAAATGGTCTATACCTCTTCTTCTTCCCTTTGATACTTCTTTCCTCAGATTCTTCTGCGCTGAAAATGATGAATCTTGGCCGTCGGAATCTGCATCCGCCATTTGGAAAATGAGAATGACAGGTTCGCCTCAGTTCTTTCACGGACAAAATCACTCAAAAAAGACTGGCACTGGCATAAGTTATTTCAAGCCAACATGGCGGACGACAACAACGGGTTGGCTTCCCTTGTGACTTTACTTTCACGCTTCGAACGCACTTCAGAATATCCAGAAACGTATCTTAAACCTCCTTCTTCTCTTGAGAAAGATACTAAAGCAACAGTGAAGGACATTTTTGATTTTTGCAAAAAAGATGAGCCGAATAGTAGCCGTTCTCTTGCAAGCACGTGTCCATTGCAGGAACTCTTGGTAGATGATTTTGATATCGAGCAAATTTGGCAGGAAATTGAGCTGCAGAATACTCCATTGTTGCACTTAGGAGAGAAAGACATCCAGATTATAAAACAAGAAGCTGAAAAGATTTCGTTATGCTTAGCTTACTCCAGGAGTAAAGATCTTGTTGAAGGAAATCAACTTGTAGACATGGAAAGTGAAACCATTAGTGATAATATAAATGGATTTGTAGAACATGGAAATGAAAGTGATTCAGATGATTACAGTTCTGGAAAGAAATCTGGTCTTGAAAATAATGACGAGGAAACAGATAATAATTATGTCAAGAATACCAATGATCGGAGAGAGGTAAACTCTGCAAGCAAACAGAAAGGGAAACAAAAACCTTCTGCAAAAAAGTCTCAAGTCGATGACAAGTTCTTTAAACTCTCAGACATGCTTCAGTTTTTAGACAAAGAAGACAGAAAATTTGAAAGAGCACATAAAAAGAAGAACCAAACAGAAAATGATGACGAAGATGATAGTGATGAGAATGAAAGTGAGCTTGTTGATTATTTTGTTGACATTGATGGTAGTGATGTTGAGGATGAGGAAGATGATGACTGGGACAAGGCACTTGACGCAACGGAGAGGCTTCTTGGAAGGTGCATTTCTACACACAGATGGACCTTCTCCAAGGCCATTACCCTAAATACTAAGACTTGGTTGTTGCTTAACCCTTTCACTCCCAATAGATAAATTTCTTTTTGTAAAATCGTAAGAAATAAGAAGTAGTATACAAAAGTTCGAAATGGTATGCATCACTTTCCATGTGACTATATTTTGTTTTTACCTCATAGTTTGGAAGGGTTTTTGTCTTAAGAAAGAAAGTATGCAAAAACCGTTCAAGATTACGTGAAAAGGTTTTAGAATCCATTTTGAGATGGAGAACTACTTATTAAGAGAAAAAAATTTTTTTTGAAGAGAAATACTTTCCAAAGAATGATCTACAGAAGCCATAGTGTGTGCAAATGACAACCCTCATGTCATTCCTCTGTTATCTGTGGGCAAAATTTAAAGTTGATCTCTGTTTTGTTTTGTTATGAAAGAAATGGTTAAAATTGCAGCTGTGCAACCACAGAGTTGTGGAAGAAATTGGGAGGTTCGCTAATACTCAAGAAGCTAGAGTTGCTCCTGGCCATGCCTTGACCGACTCTTATGTATTTTTTCATGTTTAGCAACCTCCTACATGCCTCAATATCTTGATGGTTGCATACTGCACATTTACCATTTCTTAACTACATGGATTTCAGCCTCAACTGATTGTAACAACCCACTGTCAGTGATTATTTTATCAATTTTCATGGACAATCCACCTTAAAGTGTGTCCATTGCAGCAGAATACCACGGAGGTGAATCCCTTATTCAGTCTTTCTCTGTTTTTCCTGTATTGTTTTGTCGGTAGGGAAAGAAAGATAACAAAGAAAGACAAGCAAAAGAGGAAGGCTGCAAGAGAAATTAAATATGCTGATTTCTTTGATCCCCCTGATGGAGAAATGTTGGAAAAGGCAGGAAGTGATTCAAATGATTTTGAGGAAGAAGATGAAGCTGGTGAGGAGATGGAAAGTGAAGATGATGAAGAAAATGAGGAAAACCATCAAGATAGCAGTGATGAAAATGAAGTGGAAGATGATGATGATGATGATGGTGACGATGATGATGAAAAATCCAAAGTGTTTTCTAATTTTGAAAAGAAGCAAGGAAAGGTAGGGTGTCAAAATAATTTTGAATTTTCTCAACGAAACATTTGTCACTGAGAAGGTCACATGACTAACCATAACAGATGGGGTGCTTTGAAATTTGAAGTGTTTAGTTACTCCTGAACTAATTCTAAATTCTCTGTTTGATTCCCAAGTATACACAAGGCATATTGGAGGGAGACTCTAGCTGTCTTTCAGACAATACTTGCAATATATTTAAGGCACACCTCTATGTGATCACTTATAGTTTGTCCTTAGGAGACCCATTCATGTCATGAACCAAGGAATTCCCCACCAAGCTAATTTGGGTGATGAATGTTTTAATCTGAAAACGGCTTTTATTCTCNTTGGAAAAGGCAGGAAGTGATTCAAATGATTTTGAGGAAGAAGATGAAGTTGGTGAGGAGATGGAAAGTGAAGATGATGAAGAAAATGAGGAAAACCACCAAGATAGCAGTGATGAAAATGAAGTGGAAGATGATGATGATGATGATGGTGACGATGATGATGAAAAATCCAAAGTGTTTTCTAATTTTGAAAAGAAGCAAGGAAAGGTAGGGTGTCAAAATAATTTTGAATTTTCTCAATGAAACATTTGTCACTGAGAAGGTCACATGACTAACCATAATAGATGGGGTGCTTTGAAATTTGAAGTGTTTAGTTACTCCTGATCTAATTCTAAATTCTCTGTTTGATTCCCAAGCATACACAAGGCATATTGGAGGGAGAGTCTAGCTGTCTATCAGACAATACTTGCAATATATTTAAGGCACACCTCTATGTGATCACTGATAGTTTGTCCTTAGGAGACCCATTCATGTCATGAACCAAGGAATTCCCCACCAAGCTAATTTGGGTGATGAATGTTTTAATCTGAAAACAGCTTTTATTCTTCCAAATAAAACATCACTGTGAGAAATGGGTTTCAACTGAAAGATGAATTTTTAGGTTGGAAGAAATAAGGTGTAATTTTATCATGGTATAAGAGCAGTCCAATTTTTAGCACAAATCTTATAGGAAAGGGAAAAAGTTCGATATAGCTAGAACATACAGCTTTAATTAATGTAGGGTAGCACTAAAACAGTGAAAGTATAAACATACTGATTTTAATTAAAACAATATTATTGTCTTTTGTATGGACCAGCTTTGTCATTTTTGTGCTTTTAACATTACACCTACTTTTCCTCAGCTAAAACAGAAAATTGAGAAGCTAGAAAAAGCCAATTTAGCTGAAAAACCATGGCAGATGTCTGGTGAAGCAGGTGGAAAGGTGCGACCAATAAACAGCTTGCTTGAAGAAGATATCAGCTTTGATCACACTACTGTCACTGGTAACCTCAGATTTCTATTTGTAAAAATGTGTTATTGACCTGAAAGTACAACAAAAGTATGTTTTAGAACCAAGTGGGTTAAAAACAGTTTAGCGAAATACATGTATGGGCATTTAAAAACCACCACTGTCTAAAATTCCATTAAGGTTCCCTTTCAGCGTGTTTAAAGAGGTTGTTACTTGAAATTGTTTAAAAAAATAATAGCAGTTGAATGTTATTTTTTGCAATGTATTTGGCATAAAAATGCTGAAAATGACCTACACTGTGAGTAGCATTCTCTCTGAATATTTGATTAGAGATGAAGCCCAAAATGGTATTTTTTGGTAATTTGAACAAGATTATTGATATTTACAGTATTAGGAAAGGATATCATTTTGACAACTTGAACAAGTTGCTTTGAAATTAATGTCCATCCACATTATTGTTAACAGGCACTATTATTTTTCTTTACGATCTGAGCTCATGGCCTGCGTTTCAAGCATTTCTGAGGAGGGGAGGTGTTGGGGACACATGTGCTAGAATTTGCTTGAATTGTGTTGATTCACGTTAGCTCTTTGCCTTGTCTGCATTCCTCTGCTTTCAAAACCAAAAATGATGGCTACACTGCACTGCACCCACCCCTCCTTCCCCCATTTTCACCACTCTTGTGTTCAGACTAAAAAGTTTTGTGTAGCACTAATGCACCTTATCAATAGTGACCTTAAGATACATCATTTCAGCCTATGAGTATGGGTAGGTGAACATGTTTACCTCGTAGTTTTCTAAAAGGCAACCATTATTTCCCAGAGGTGATAACGGCATGACCATTCTACCCGGTAGCCTACCCGTTTCTCCTGGGTAAGAGGCAATCTACCTGTATTTACGGTTACGTCTACTGCTAATTTACCCATACCTGTACATGGAAACGGTGTATTTTAAGGTCTCTAATGTTAATCTGGAGGGGGAAGGCTGAGCGAAGGCAAGGGATTTGGCAAAGGAAGCCAGCACTTGGTGGGGACTTTTGATTATTGCGAAGTCCTGAAGGTGGGGATATTTGAATTTCCACCAATCATGGATGCCATCTTGGATTGAAAGCTGTAAAAGACCTGGTTACAAGTCAGTTACCTGTTCTATTACCCGGTGGATTGGTAACTAGAGATGGCGGCATTGTTCCCGAAGGATCTGTGGGTATTTTGGTAACCGGTCAAGTCGCCCGAAAGTTATCTCGCCCGAAGTCATATCGCCCGGAACCAGAGTCATATCGCCCGAAATACATAGTCATGTCGCCCGAAATCCTAAGTCATGTCGCCCGCAATTTTATCGAGTGTATAAACTTGAAGAAAAGTAACATCTTAAGTAAATCGCAAGGAATAAACTTGTAAAATGTTGACTCGCTAACCTATGCAAATTGGAAGGTGCATTTCTACACACAGATGGACCTTCTCCAAGGCCATTACCCTAAATACTAAGACTTGGTTGTTGCTTAACCCTTTCACTCCCAATAGATAAATTTCTTTTTGTAAAATCCTAAGAAATAAGAAGTAGTATACAAAAGCTCGAAACGGTATGCATCACTTTCCATGTGACTATATTTTGTTTTTATCTCATAGTTTGGGAGGGGTTTTGTCTTAAGAAAGAAAGTATGCAAAAACCGTTCAAGATTACATGAAAAGGTTTTACAATCCATTTTGAGATGGAGAACTACTTATTAAGATTTTAATTATTTTTTGAAGGGAAATACTTTCCAAAGAATGATCTACAGAAGCCATAGTGTGTGCAAATGACAACCCTCATGTCATTCCTCTGTTATCTGTGGGCAAAATTTAAAGTTGATCTCTTTTGATTTTGTTTTGAAAGAAATGGTTAAAATTGCAGCTGTGTAACCACAGAGTTGTGGAAGAAATTGGAAGGTTCGCTAATACTCAAGAAGCTAGAGTTGCTCCTGGCCATGCCTTGACCGACTCTTATGCTTTTTTTCATGTTTAGCAACCTCCTACATGCCTCAATATCTTGATGGTTGCATGCTGCACATTTACCATTTCTTAAATACATGGATTTCAGCCTCAACTGATCGTAACAACCCACTGTCAGTGACTATTTTATCAATTTTCATGGACAATCCACTTCAAAGTATGTCCATTGCAACAGAATGCCGCAGAGGTGAATTCCTTTTTCAGTCTGTCTCTGTTTTTCCTGTCTTGTTTTGTCGGTAGGGAAAGAAAGATAACAAAGAAAGACAAGCAAAAGAGGAAGACTGCAAGAGAAATTAAATATGCTGATTTCTTTGATCCCCCTGATGGAGAAACATTGGAAAAGGCAGGAAGTGATTCAAATGATTTTGAGGAAGAAGATGAAGTTGGTGAGGAGATGGAAAGTGAAGATGATGAAGAAAATGAGGAAAACCACCAAGATAGCAGTGATGAAAATGAAGTGGAAGATGATGATGATGATGATGGTGACGATGATGATGAAAAATCCAAAGTGTTTTCTAATTTTGAAAAGAAGCAAGGAAAGGTAGGGTGTCAAAATAATTTTGAATTTTCTCAATGAAACATTTGTCACTGAGAAGGTCACATGACTAACCATAATAGATGGGGTGCTTTGAAATTTGAAGTGTTTAGTTACTCCTGATCTAATTCTAAATTCTCTGTTTGATTCCCAAGCATACACAAGGCATATTGGAGGGAGAGTCTAGCTGTCTATCAGACAATACTTGCAATATATTTAAGGCACACCTCTATGTGATCACTGATAGTTTGTCCTTAGGAGACCCATTCATGTCATGAACCAAGGAATTCCCCACCAAGCTAATTTGGGTGATGAATGTTTTAATCTGAAAACAGCTTTTATTCTTCCAAATAAAACATCACTGTGAGAAATGGGTTTCAACTGAAAGATGAATTTTTAGGTTGGAAGAAATAAGGTGTAATTTTATCATGGTATAAGAGCAGTCCAATTTTTAGCACAAATCTTATAGGAAAGGGAAAAAGTTCGATATAGCTAGAACATACAGCTTTAATTAATGTAGGGTAGCACTAAAACAGTGAAAGTATAAACATACTGATTTTAATTAAAACAATATTATTGTCTTTTGTATGGACCAGCTTTGTCATTTTTGTGCTTTTAACATTACACCTACTTTTCCTCAGCTAAAACAGAAAATTGAGAAGCTAGAAAAAGCCAATTTAGCTGAAAAACCATGGCAGATGTCTGGTGAAGCAGGTGGAAAGGTGCGACCAATAAACAGCTTGCTTGAAGAAGATATCAGCTTTGATCACACTACTGTCACTGGTAACCTCAGATTTCTATTTGTAAAAATGTGTTATTGACCTGAAAGTACAACAAAAGTATGTTTTAGAACCAAGTGGGTTAAAAACAGTTTAGCGAAATACATGTATGGGCATTTAAAAACCACCACTGTCTAAAATTCCATTAAGGTTCCCTTTCAGCGTGTTTAAAGAGGTTGTTACTTGAAATTGTTTAAAAAAATAATAGCAGTTGAATGTTATTTTTTGCAATGTATTTGGCATAAAAATGCTGAAAATGACCTACACTGTGAGTAGCATTCTCTCTGAATATTTGATTAGAGATGAAGCCCAAAATGGTATTTTTTGGTAATTTGAACAAGATTATTGATATTTACAGTATTAGGAAAGGATATCATTTTGACAACTTGAACAAGTTGCTTTGAAATTAATGTCCATCCACATTATTGTTAACAGGCACTATTATTTTTCTTTACGATCTGAGCTCATGGCCTGCGTTTCAAGCATTTCTGAGGAGGGGAGGTGTTGGGGACACATGTGCTAGAATTTGCTTGAATTGTGTTGATTCACGTTAGCTCTTTGCCTTGTCTGCATTCCTCTGCTTTCAAAACCAAAAATGATGGCTACACTGCACTGCACCCACCCCTCCTTCCCCCATTTTCACCACTCTTGTGTTCAGACTAAAAAGTTTTGTGTAGCACTAATGCACCTTATCAATAGTGACCTTAAGATACATCATTTCAGCCTATGAGTATGGGTAGGTGAACATGTTTACCTCGTAGTTTTCTAAAAGGCAACCATTATTTCCCAGAGGTGATAACGGCATGACCATTCTACCCGGTAGCCTACCCGTTTCTCCTGGGTAAGAGGCAATCTACCTGTATTTACGGTTACGTCTACTGCTAATTTACCCATACCTGTACATGGAAACGGTGTATTTTAAGGTCTCTAATGTTAATCTGGAGGGGGAAGGCTGAGCGAAGGCAAGGGATTTGGCAAAGGAAGCCAGCACTTGGTGGGGACTTTTGATTATTGCGAAGTCCTGAAGGTGGGGATATTTGAATTTCCACCAATCATGGATGCCATCTTGGATTGAAAGCTGTAAAAGACCTGGTTACAAGTCAGTTACCTGTTCTATTACCCGGTGGATTGGTAACTAGAGATGGCGGCATTGTTCCCGAAGGATCTGTGGGTATTTTGGTAACCGGTCAAGTCGCCCGAAAGTTATCTCGCCCGAAGTCATATCGCCCGGAACCAGAGTCATATCGCCCGAAATACATAGTCATGTCGCCCGAAATCCTAAGTCATGTCGCCCGCAATTTTATCGAGTGTATAAACTTGAAGAAAAGTAACATCTTAAGTAAATCGCAAGGAATAAACTTGTAAAATGTTGACTCGCTAACCTATGCAAATATAAAGTTAAACAAAGACTCCAATATCACTGTTCATTTCAGTGTTGTTCGTTGTTCGCTGCTATGAACTAAGCCGCTCATTCTACAGTAAAGATTCTAGTAATTATGTCGCCCGCAATTTTATCGAGTGTATAAACTTGAAGAAAAGTATCGCTGGTCATTCACTTCTATATACCATAACATCTTAAGTAATTCGCAAGGAATAAACTCGTAAAATGTTCACTCGCTAACCTATGCAAATATGAAGTTAAAAAAAGACTCCAACCACAGGAAAAAATAACGGATTTCCATTTTTGGATATTTTAGGGTACCGGTATTTAAAGAATACCCACAAAAATCCCAAATTTGGAAGAGTAAGACAAGTCCCAATCAGGGAACTTGGTTGGGAATTCCCTGGTCGGGACTTGTCTCACTTTGCCAAATTTGGGATTTTTATGGGTATTCTTTAAATACCCTAAAATATCCAAAAATGGGAATCCGTTATTTTTTCTTGTGAACATTGCTGTTCATTTCAGCGTTGTTCGTTGTTTGTTGCTATGAACATGACTCTGGTTTCGGGCGACATGACTTTCGGGTGACTTGACCGTAAAGCGGTATTTTTATACACTTGTGCAAGATAGCGAAGGTAAATCTTATGAAAAACGAGAAGACCCTGGGGATGAGGTCGGTGATGAGGTATCTGTTTCCATCCTCTCTATTCTTATTCAAATGAATACATCCATTTGAGTGATGGCCGTCAAAAAAATCTGCAAAATGAACAGCTGAAAGGCTGTGAAAAACAAAACTCTACCACTGGGTTCACAGTTATTAAAGTTCACAATGCAGCAACCTGAAATGGCTATATGAAAATGCCAAAAATCACTCGATACATGCAGTTTTAAAGGGCTTCCTGCTTGACGATCAGAAAGATAAGCATTCTGTTGAACTTCTATAAAAGTAAGTTGACAAAACTGGTGGGCCTGTTTATAATACCAGCAGCATTTCAAAGACAATGTTGCTACTTTCAGTGAAACAAGTCTGACCTTTTGACTTAGTTGGAGGGGTGTTTTGACCAAATATGATGTCCCAGGGGTAGGGTATTTGACCCAAAAAATGCTTCGAGTTCAAATCCCCAGCCTTCCCCCCCTTAGGTTAACATTGATAGGTGCATAAATGGCATTCATCGTGGGAGAACTTAATTTCTTATCAAGTAGCTATTTATCATATCTGCCACAGCTCCAGATATAACAGAAGAAACAACTCAAAACCTTGAGGATATCGTTAAGCAAAGAATTAAAGATGAGGTTTGTAATACTGAACTCTACTGCAAATCATATTGTCTCGTCATTGTGTAATTATCGTAGGGTAACTAAAAACAGAACTAATGAGGCCTTGTTAGGGTTAAGTTCTGACAAGCGACATGATGGTCTTGAAACAGTGACATAAGACAGATGAAATGGTGATAAATGACAAGAAATTGGTTCAGAACTACAACAACGATGAGAACAATCACAAACACAATAGTAAAGTACCCACAGTGGCATGGCCTCCTCTTCAATACATATACCCCTCCCCTCCCCCACTCTAAGATGACCTCACTAATATAATCTTTTGGTTTTACTTTCTAGCCACTGAGCTACTGAGAACTCTAGTGATCAAGTGAACACACAAATGAACTGCATTGTGCAGTCTCGAAAGGCTTACTTCAGTTTGTTTTTCCCTTATTTAAAACTTCTCCAAGTCAAATAGTTAATGCAGTTTTGGTCCATTATTCAGAAAGCGTTTTGGACTTGAAAGTAAAACTTTCAACCTTTCAATCCAAAAACCACTTAATCCGCTTTTATTGTGGAGCCAGTACCCTCAACAGTACAAAATTTCTGTTCCTTTATTTTTGAGTTTAAATTTTCAATTATTTATTATTGGTGGTTTGAGTAGGCAGCGTTGCCGATTGGTCAGCGCGTCGAATTCGCAATCGGCCGGCGTTGCCGGATTCGAGTCGCAATCTAGACCTTCACTTGATGGAATTGTTCTTTCTTGTCCCGAATTCAAATCCTCGGCCGCGGTTGTAAATAACCAACTGGTTGCCTCCTTCCAGTTGGGGTCTTTATAGACCATGAGCAGTCTCTCGTTTTTTCTTAGGCTGTGAGCGAAAGGTGCGAGTCCTCGTTTCCCTCGTCTCACGGCTTCGCCGCTGGACGCTCTCGTGCGCGCGCGTGTACTCCCCTGACCAACTGAAGAAAAAGGGAGACTGCTCGCAGTTTAGGGTTTTTGATCCTGTTTTGTTTCTTATTTGAGTGCAATGCCTGTAAACTAGCGGGATAAGCTCAACAGGAAATAGCATTATCACCATTTTGGCATTTGAGCAATTGGTAAGTTAAGCAGATGGAGGAAATTGTTTTCTAATAGAGTGACTTTTACCTTCAGGCATGGGATGATGTCGAACGGAAAGTAAAGCCAGTAACAGAACCATTTGAGTACAAGAAAAAGATACCACTGGACCAAGAAAAAAGTAAATTAAGCCTCAGTCAAATTTACGAGCAGGAATACCTCAAACAAACACAGGTAAGATAAGTAATAGTCTTTCCACGTAAATTTATTCGCAATGAAGTTTGAACGATCACAAATTCACTTTTCACATCCTCTTCTTCTTACTTAAAGATGATATTGCAAGGGACGATTCGCAACGACGATTTTTAGCGCAACTCAGCATGGCAATGTTGGAGCAATGTTGTAACCATTCGAAACAATGTTGCAACGCTGTGTTGCGCTAAAAATCGTCGTTGCGAATCGTCTCGTGCAACATCCGTGTCATAGCTGTCTACTTCAGTGGGTTAATATCGTCAATAATTCGTCTTTATTCGCTAAATTACGTAAAATATCTCTCTCAAAGCATTTGATATCAAACGATACAAACAACAAACTTTTCTTAGTAATTTTGTGACACAGTTTCTTTAAAAGCTTACTTCTAGTACCTTGCCGTGAACTTGCCTACTTCCAAATGAGAAGTAATCCTTTAATCTTTACTTTTACAGGAAGAGGCCGAAGAAAAAGAAAATGAAGAACATACTGAGATCAAAGCGTTGATGAGTAAATTGTTCACAAAACTAGATGCGCTTTCAAACTTCCATTTTACACCAAAACCGGTAAGGGATGTGTGTCGTCATAAGTGTATTTACATGCGTATTGCTGACCTGCCTCTGCTGCCACAGCCAGGGAAGGCAGGCCGGGAAACAGTTTCTCCAAGGTCAAGGAAACTGAAGTCAGCATTTTTTTTTTCAACATTTTATAGAAAACTCTAGTTCATGCCGGTTCTAGTTAGTGAAAAGTAAGGGGATTTCACTGCGCGTTTGCTCCACAAGTCCTTATATAAGGGCCATTTATACGAGGTAAAATAAGACGCGTCTTTTTCACAGAAGACGCGTTTTTAATAAGAAGCGAAGTTCTGGTATAGAGCGATTTTCGTATGACCTTGATTGTTTTATCAGCCAATGGATGAAAAGATCAAAACATGGGTTCTTCGTTTTCCCGCCAAAGAAAACCCTCATATGGAGAAGGCATTGTTCGATTTGCCAATCGTGTTGCAGTATGACGTCAAAGCGGACTATCGATTGATAACTTAGATGTAACTTAGCTAAGACGCAGGTGATATGCTCGCACAATTGGTGCAGGTAGTTTGCGCCTTAATTGTTTGAGACGCGTGGTTTTTTTTCTCGTATAAATGGCCCATGAGTTAGTACCTAAAGCGCATCCTTATCCAGAAAAAATCTGTAGTTGATAGATTTAGATGTTCTAATTTTCCCGTGGAACATCAAATTCCGTGAAACGCTATGCCCGTAAAAATTGCTTAAGGTCAGGGACAAGTCAACGATTTTTTTTGGTGGTAATGATTAGCAGCCATGCATGGAAGCGTTGCATGAGTAATTCCAATAGAGGATTAATCGCAACTCCCGCACTTCCCTCATGTTTTTGTGCTTTCGCTCCTCCACGAAACTTCCACGCAAGACGCGAGGCAAAAGGGAGATTTAGCATCGACGACGGTGACGGTAACGAGGCCGTCGAAAAGCAATAAAGCAACAACTCTGCACGTGCATCACACCTTACTTGTACATTTCTTTGCCGTCCCTGCACGACTACGACGTGAAAAACGACGACGAATTTTTCTTTCTCTTTCTAAACTCGAGTTTCGGTCCCCAAGAAATTAACTCCTGAGAAATTCGCCCATATTTGACATTTTCAGCGAATTGGAATAAACGCGACAATATTTGGAAAAACGTGAATTCATTTTTAAATTGACGTTTTCGTTGCCGTCGCCGTCGTCGATGCTAATCCGCAGGAAAACCGATGCGTTCCAAAAATAACTTTGGAGGATCACGATGGGTAGAGGGCCCATATGGGGGATTAATTCTCTTACGCTTTATCCTCTCTTGGTAATTCTCATTTGAGTTTTTTAATTTATATGTAGTAGATATCAGTCTTTACAAAACTCTTACTTAACGTTTCAGCCCAAACCAGAACTCAAAGTTGTGAGCAATGTTCCAGTCATATCGGTGGAGGAAGTGGCGCCAGTGTCTGTTAGCGATGCCATGATGCTAGCTCCTGAGGAAGTTCATGAGAAGAAAAATGAACAGAAAGGAAAAACAGAGCTAACGGATACTGATAGAAAACGAGAACGACGAGCAAAGAAACGAAGACAGCATGAACGAGCTGTGGAAAAAATAAAACGAAGAAAACTGGTCGAGAAGCTTAATCCGGGTCTGGGAAACAAGTATTCGAAAAAAGCAGCGCTTGAAAAGTTGGAGAAGGAACATAAGAACTCGAAAAATCTGTCTTTGTTAAAAGACGACGGAAATGACAAATCTGTGAAATCCTCCACGACGTTCTTCTCTCGTCTTCAAGACGAGGTTAGAGATCAAGTTAGAGCAAAGAAGCAAGTGAAGAAAAAGAAAGAAAAATCCTCTGTTAAAGTGGCTCAATTGAAGCTTTGATCAGCGTCTCCTGTTTGTAAATTCAGAATAATCAGTCGGTCTGCTTCTAGCGGCAGCCGCGACTCTAGCTATTCTCGAAGGTGTTGTCCTGGAAACAAGGTTACGAGTGTAGAGGTAGAGAAGTATTGAGTGCAAAAGCACAAATACACAAATACATGTGTAGTTTACCATCTGCGAAATGTTTGCGGAGATTTTGGTAGGAAAGTAAATGGAACACGATTTTTCGAGTCGTGATCAAACTAAGGAATATATGAAAAGGAAATTCGCAGCGTTGTTTCCAGTTGGCCTCTGACGAGTTTGGATTTCACGCCACCAACACCCTTTCAACTTTTTAGGGAGAATTCGCGGCGTGGAAATTCGTGTTCCATTTAATCAAACCCTCACTTGATACTAGTGTCTGCAAAGGGTGATGATCATCCAAAGTAATCAGAGTGATTTGATGGTGTCCGAGATGCTATGGCGTAGTTCTTAAAATTTCAAGTACGCCTAGTGCTTCTGTGCGAAACACTTGGATTATAACTGGAATGTCATTCTCTGGGGAGCCAAAGCAAATCAGGGCCCAGTTGTTCGAGGAACTGATAACGCGCGACCTACTGGATAAACCTCCGTCCAGTGGATAACGCAATTGGTAATACTTGTCTCCTGGATAGCGATTTATCCGGTTGATAGCGCTATCAAACGTTTGAATTACCAGGCCTAGATGGCTGGCCTCGCCCCTCATGAAAAAGTCGATTTTTGTTCCGAAGGGGAGGTGGCGGCTGTATAGAGACCGAAAGAAACGGCAAGCTGTCTATACGGTATAATTAGCTCTGTGGTTTGCCTTTTTTTCTTGTGGTTTACTCTCCCATCTAAATGGTTACCACACATTTAAAATGTCACAGTTCGCGGTTTTCGGATTTGCAACTACGCCCCACTGACGGATCAGTTCAGCAAACAAAAGAAGTAGCTGTGCTTTGAGGAAGAACACTGCTTGAAATGTAGAAAATCACTTCTTAAAATCCGTTGTTTCACTGCTGTTTTGCGAAACATAAGAAAATAAACCCATGCATAGTTTGTCACTATGTGAGAGATGTAGGCCTGATTTACCCCCTTGCTGCAAGGTACATTACTGAAGAACTGCAAAAGAGAAAAAGGTCTCATTTTTCTGTTTTTCTGCAATATCGCCTGTCACAACAGTTTAACTTCCCTTTAGCGGTAATCCCATTACCATTTTAAGGCCTGGTTCTGAAACAGTTGTGATAATTATGTACATTTTACAAAAACCACTGTTAAAGACATCCACGAGAAATGATAGATTGTAAAATAAACTAAATTTGAAAAAAATGCAATAAAAAAGGAAATACAAATATCCTCCTCTTTGCCTCGCACCAAGACGTTTGCATTTAAAGAAAGACGGGAAGGAGAGAACTGGCAAAACGGCGCTTCGCTTCACTTGTATCATTCTCCTTCCCATGGTCTCTTGCGCTTCGTCACCAGTTACTCGTGTTTTGCGTTCGTGAGCGAAAAACGAAGCGCCTGAGGAAGAGGAGGCTGTCCTCCTCTCGTACTCGTCCTCCGGAGTGAGAGAAAGTGAAGGAGACGCGAGTAGGAAAGTACCCTGGGAACGAGGGTTGTTTCGATTCCCACCATTTGCCAGCCAATAGCTACACGGGTAGGTCCAGTTTCTCTGTATCAATACATTGACCCTACAAAGTGTCTACGAAATCAGCTCGTATTGAATCGAAGCGTTGCAATTTGTAGGTAAAATTTCAACCTCGTCCTTAGGGATGGGGACGAGGCTGGATGCATTCTGTGTTCTTTACCACTGACCAGTGCCAGTCCTCCTCTGATTAAAATTTTGGTTATGAGAAAGAAGTTAAATGGCCCCGTTTATTCCCACCTCTTTTAAACAGGGCGTGGCCGGTCACGTGAAGCAGTTATAAACAATGTTTATAAACTGATTAAATTGGAAGATTTCTTGGTTATGATTAGCCTTCAATTGTAAATTATGGGATATCTTGAAATTACTTTACATTAGACCACCCCCTTTTAAAATTCTGAAAAATTTGTAACGAGCCAGACCTTATAATCTACTAGAGCAGAAGTTCTTCTTATAAAGGCTTCGTCACGCTGTTGCGTTGCTTCCACGCGTGAAGAAGCCCTATAAAGAACGTCTGCGTGGAAGGCTACCCCCCTGTTTCATGTTGTATATTTTATATTTACGTTACGCAGAAAAGCGGAAGTGGGTAGTGGAATATTCTAGGAACTGCTAAATTATGTATACAATTATCACTTACCATATTTTTTTTAAAATTCAGTATGATAGCGCTTCTTAAAGCATACAAACAAAGAAAATGAATAACCATGAATTATCATGGTTTGTGGTTCCCATAGTCCTCGACAAGAATACAAAATCGTGAAAAGAAAACGGAATCTTCGCTTTTCGCTTCGCTCTCAAGAGAATTATAATTAATTGATTTTTTCCAAAAATGGCTAGTGAAAATATGACGGATTATGATAACAGAGTTGTTGATAGCGACACTGGTTTGCAGGACGCTATCTCTGAGCTTAAACTGAAAGTAGCGGAAGGGAACATTCTACTAGCTGTTGATTGTGAGGGGAATTCGTTGAGCAGAAAGGGAGCCCTTACCATCATCACAGTAGCAACTGAAGAGAAGGTCTACATATTTGATGTGCAGAAATTAGGACAAACCACATTCAGCAGTGGACTTGGCGAAATCCTTGAAGACGAATCTCGTAAGAAGTTGATGTTTGATTGTCGACAAGACTCCGACGCGCTTTGGCATCAGTTTAAGGTAAAATTGAGCGGAGTTTTGGACCTTCAGCTGCTTGAAGTCATCTATCGCCGTGAAAACCCGTCAGCTTCCACAACTAACACTGCGCAGTCTCCCTCCAAGAATAAACGTGGAGGTCATCGCAATCGTCGGAGTCAGCGAACAGATGAAGTAGAGAAGATATATGGGTTTGGTCGTTGCATTGAGTTGTACCTCCAAGACGAAAAGTTGATCAAAATAAAGGATAAGGGAAGAGAGTTGTTAGAGGAGGATGATGAACTGTGGACGAAGAGACCATTGACGGATGAACTCATCCAGTACTGCGTTGTGGATACAATGGTCATGTTCAGATTGTACAACAAGATGAAGGATGTCAACGGTGGAGAGCAGGCCCGCCTACGAGTGGCATCCAAAAAGTATGTTGACCTGTATCGAGGCAAAACGGAAAGATCTTTCGATGAATATGAAACGAATGGCTACCTTCCTCTCGATATCATCCCTTGATAAAGGAACACTGGATTTTCCGGTCGCCAACACGGTATGCACTCGCTGCCATCGACGGTTTCCGCATGAAGAGTTCAGTGTAACGCAGCTGAGAAACGGAGAACAGAAGTGCAGGGTATGTAAGGAGATAAAACGTCTGGATGATGTACAGAAAAACAGAGTGGATAATTGGCAACGCGATGCCCTTGAAGAAGACGATTATGTATACATTCCTGAAGGCATGTCTGACTACGCATTTGTGCACGGCCACGAACCATGGGAGAACACAGATGACTCATATTATGACTGGTAAAGCTTCATATGCTATGCGTAGCTCTCTGCCTCGCTTAATTCCATCGGCACACGGAGAGTTGTCGCAGAGTTGTCAAGGAATTTAATCCCAAAAGACTTTGATACTTCAACCACTGCAAATATCTCTTGACCAGATAGGAGACTATAGTATAGAGCAGTATAGAGAAATTAACGAAACAATTTTTACCACTATATAAGTTTACTTTAACACCTGAACACTAGGCTGTGTTCGCACTAAACCGGAGATCGGCGCCGCGCGGCACTGCTTTGCTCCGTTACAGAAATCGCGCCGAAATCACCGTAGTGTGAAGAGAAGCCCTATCCGACATGGTTTTCGTGCCGGAACAAAAGCTATCCGGTATATAGTGAACATAGCCTTAGTTTTACCACCGTAAGGTAGGTTCCACTATACAGAGAAAACATCACTGGGTAACAGCCAGTAGCAATCTGTAGCAGACGCAAACTGAGATGGGAGGGAAGGGGAAGAGAAGCGCGAAAGGGACAAGGGATAGTCCATTTCACTCTTTCTCCAATTCTCTGTCTCCTTTCCCTCTCCTTTTGACACCTAGCACGCAGGCTAATAGGTAAATGCAATAATATTGTCTTTTACGTCGATGTAAGACCAGTTACGCGGGGTGAATGGTGGGTACTTATAAGTAACGTTTTCTACCAGGACTCTCCTCCCAGCTTTTTTAGAATAGACCTTCATAGACTTTTTGTAGAAAATGGTGCTCCTTGACGTTATCATTGCCATCGTTGTTTCGTATAAAGATGTTACTCAATCTCTCAACTTCATCACGATTATTCCAACTGCGGTTCAATTTTTGAAATACATTGTACGGGTGAATAGATCTTTCCACCGTTTTTTTCAACTTTTGACAGAGACTACTGTTAGTGACAATCTGTCGACACCGCTGGAAAGAGGGCCAAAAAATACCGTAATTGCCAGGTTTAAGAGTGATTTGTTGAAAAAGAATGACGATATAGCTCGGCAAAGTCGCAAAACGTTCAGCAGACGTGTTTAAGTTGGGGAGCATAAACTTCCTCCCCTCCCATCATAAAAACGTCTGTAAAATTTCGCGATTTTGGGAGCTACATCTTTGCTCGCTTTAGACGTATTACTTTCAAACTTGACAAGTTTCCTAATGTTAAGGAGCTCCCTTCAGAGGTGTTGACGGACTTTCGCCAAATGATCAGTGATCCTCATCAGAACTTCCAATTGAATCACGGAAGGGTCTATTCTCCTGTTGTCGAATGTAAATTAGGACTACTGATGCTGATTGCAAACGACTTTATCTGTCATTTTCTTTTATTTGATTTTTACATAAAAACTCTTTCGAATCTACAGATCTACACCTAAACTTGTTACGAGTCGACTTCTCATAAGTTCTTAATAACCAACTCGGAAAAAAAATTTGAAGGCCTTTAGAAAGTCTAATCTACAACTATACACCCAAGAAAGCAAATCCCCCAGATGCAGCGTTTTCTATCTTTTCCACTGAAATTTGCTTTAATTTAGTTTGGACGTTATTTTGCAAATAGAAGTACTAATTCTTATTTCTTAGAACATGAGCTAAGTCCGAGTGTCATCATAACAAATTACATGCTGAAGTAAGGAAGCTTAAAGTAAAAAAAATATATTTACACAAATTCGTAATAAATACAAATAAGTTTGTTCGTTCATATGTACAAAACTTTGTTAAAACTTCCATTGTTCTCCTGGTTTGGGCGCATCTTTGTACTCATCGATTGGTGTACTGAATGCAGCATTTTTACGGAATGGCGTGTCTTTGGTACGAACTTGTGAAACTCCCTGAAAGAAAAAAAAAAAAAATGAACCGACGCTTATTTTTAATGAACAGTAAGAGAGGTTTTGTAAACAATTATTTACATCGTCGCTAATTCGTAGGGTTGTCAGTACTACAAATTAGTTCACCACAATTTACAAGTTGTAGATGGTAATTTGGTGTGTCTTCTGATACAAACAATGTCCTGGTTTTGCAGAAGTCAACCTAACTGCTGATTTTTCAAACTGACGGCGTCATTTTTCTTTCAATTCCACGAAAACGCATTTCGTCAAAGAAAATCGAAAAGTTACAACTAATACAACTAAAATTGTAGTGCTGAGATTATGAGAAATTTGTTCTCGAAATCAAAGAAACGGTATTTCTGAAAACCTAAATTTTCCAATCTCCTCTCGGGATACCTAGTTCCGTCTTCAGTGGAAGGCCTCCCTGGGCCTCCATAGTCATCATTCGGCTTTGACTTTTCCAGACAGTGGTTCTGGCACATCTTTGGATGTACTTGTACTACTTCTAGAAGGGCAGTTGGGGAAAATTGGGACTGGCTGTTTAGCTAATCAATCCTTTCTACTGTCAATGAAATATAGTGATCACTGGATGAAAGGAAAGTATGAATGGAGTGAAAACCACGAAAAGAGTTTTATTCATCTCTGGAATAGTCAGAATAATACTTTAGTAGAGCGCGCGACCTACGCAAGCGCGCGTGAGACACGGCCGATCATCGGCGAAGCGATTTCAAACCGCGCGTACGCGTTTTTCAAACACTCTTGTAACTTTCCCAGTGAAAATAAGGGATTACTCCAAGGGATTACCCGATTTTCAGTGACCTCCTTTTATCACCATTTAAAAGCTTATTGCCCGGACAGGAACTCGATGACTCCAAAGGTATTAGAGATGGACTGTTTGATTCTGTCATCCGGCATAATTTAGAACTGACTCTCATATAATACATGTACTGGGATTCACTGAAACTAACAACGATAAAACTGCAATTCAAAACGTACGTGCACTTCTTCAGCTCGCTCAAGCCAGAAGGTTGCAGGTTGTTCAGTTTTAACATCATGTTCCTGTAAAACAACACAATAAAGCAAGGCATGAAATTAGCTTTTTTTTCAGGAACTACTTAAGGTTGCCAATCCCAAAAAGATAGTCAATGGGTTTTTTTTAACTACAAAATGAAAATGATGCTAGCAGATAGTATAGAAACATCCAGTCTCTCACAAAGTAAACTATGTGGACACTACCGTTCAGAAGGGAACATACAACACACCTACTTGAAATCCAAGATGACGCATGGTGTTAGAATTTTTCCCGGAATACAGTTACATGCCGACATAGACATTTGGATCCCAATTATATTTTCGTTTTTAAAATTTAACAAAAACACATTTTCAAAGAGGTTTCAATTGAATAGTAACACCATGCGTGCTTTGGAATATGCCAAAATTTCTGAACGTTCCCTTGCATCAGGAGCCCGGCCAAAAACCCGGCCAGCCTGGAAAAGGCTGGCCAGGCCAGGTTTTCCGGGTTTTTGGCCAGGCTTATCGGGAAAATGCGGCCTGGTAAAGCCTGGCAAGTATGGCCACAGCCAAGCTTTCTTGGCAACCTTGGCCACCAAAGTGTGGCCTTCCTGGCCTTGTTACTTCCACAGCCGAGCTTTCTCGGCAACCCTGGTCAAAAAAGCCCGGCTTTAATCTGGTTGAAACATACATGTAATTGAAACGTTTTTTTGTGGAAAAAGTGGTCCATCTACAGAGGTGGTCCTCTTTGATGTTGAGTTGCACTTCTCTAAGAATAACTGTATTGTAAACAGGATTTCTTTTAATCCAACAATGTTCCACAGGTCTCTGTTGGTCTGGCCAAATGAGAGCAACCCATGGAATTATGCAAAAGAGTGTAGAGTTAGAGTGGCAAATAAAATAATTAATAAACTTGCCATAATGTGGTTTAGGAAAGAAAGCTTTTTGGGATTATCCTCTCCACTAGGACATTTAGTGCTTACCTCTTTGCTACTTTAAATTTTCATACAAATGATATTATTTATGCTCACCCTAGTTGGTGCCTTGACAATTGGAGTAAATTCTGCAATTACAATGTACGAGTAAATTATTCATTTGGAAAAGATATACATTTATTTTAATTCAATAGTCCACAGCTATCAAACATAATTTTACTACCAGAAAACAGATTTTATGTCCCACACTTTGCTCGACTTGAAATCAAAGCTTCTGTTATTGACTTGTATGATATTAATAAATAGTGATGGTACAGATGGCGGAAAAGCACTCGCACTAGGTAACTGGACATTGTCTTGATATTTTTCAAAGAAGAACAGTGGAACCCCGTGTTACTTGCACCTGATTTTTCCGACCATTAAATTCTTTTGACCCAAACAAAAAAAAACACTGATTTATCATTTTGTTATTTCAAAGACCCTGTTTAAATATGATCACCTTGTTATTGTGACCAGGATTTTATGGCCCCACAGTGGTCATATTAGTGGGGTTACACTGCACTTATAATTTGTGAATGTATAAAACATTCATAACTTTCCAACTTTTAAAATTTGTGTCTTGGAAAACAGTCGCCAAGGTTTAGATAATATTAAGAGTTTCAAAATCTGAAGTTCAGAACCAATTACATTCACTTTGTTGTTCAAAGCTCCATTGCAACCTTGTTCTTAGGTTTCTTTCTCACTATTATCCCATGAAGTAAGGGTGAGTGGAAGAGAATCCTGGGAATGAGTTTGGCTCCTGCACACAACAATAAATATATGAAAAAAATCTCTAGTCTTCTTGACGGACTACAGAGTACCTTCGGCATGTGGTAGAAATCTTAAAGAATTTGAGGTCCTGATATCTAATTCAATTCTCTTTGAGATGAGTGTGTTTTATACACTCCAATCTTGAAGGTGGAATCAATGAAACAAACTTTCCAAGATCATAAATTGATCTGTCTGACGTATTTTCCTATTGGCCTAACTGAGAAGATCCTTGTTTAACAGGTACAAAGGACAAAAGATAACTCCATAAAAAAAATTGAAATCTATAAAAAGGCCCTATTCGAAACAAATAATTTCATAAAGGAGATGCAATATTATTGTCCTCAACAAAACCCCTGACACCCAAATTCAAGTAAAGACCACAGTTACCTTTCGAGAAATCCTTTTTGGTTGTTGAGAGATATTCTATTATAGGAGGAGGAGGGTTGAATTCTTGATCCACTTCAGCACTAGAGAGAGAAAAGCATACACAATAGAATCAAGTTACATCGGTAGTGGATTTCTTTATTAAGCTTTTCATCTGGATTGCTTTCACATCAGGTCATGTTCATCCTGCACTGACTACACGGACTGTTTAATTAACTTTTGGCATGGTAATTGATCTAGACTCCCTTAATTATGCAAACAAAGTTTCCTAATCCTAATTATTTTGTTCCCTTACCCACTGGAAATCAAAAATCAATTATGTTCCAGGGACATAAATTTTTGATTTCCAGTAAAACGTAATATGTGATTGAGAAATTGCTCACTTAAAAATGTAAGACTGTAATAGCCTAGCGCAAAGCTCAAATACTGAGACTAAAAGAAACTGACACAAAGTTTCTAAAATTTCAAATATTGGATGAAAGTTGATCTTTCAGGCACCCCAATTGTTTGGGCAAAATTGGTGACTCCTACAATTTGCTAGTGATGATCACCTGCAAAGCCTCAAATGACCCAGTCACAATTAATTTATTATTTACCTAACTTGTCTAATGAGCTCTTCCTGAAGAAGTTGTTGCCGCAAACCAACCTGCCGCACTCCAAGTGTCTGTGGTTTTCTGTATGAATCTCTAACAGTGGATAACCCTTCTGGCTTTGCATCAAAATCTGTTGTAAGGATACCCTGCATTGACATTTAACAAAGCAAAATCATTATTCCACTGACCATCAACAGTTAGATAGTCTACAACACAAATACAAATCTGCTCACTGTTCTTTGCAACATTGCCATTATCTGGATTCCTGAAACAGGTTATGTCCAAAGATGAACCTAAAAAGTGCTGCAACAACCCTCATGGCAGCTGAAAGCTACCCCAAATCCACAAATGTCTCCCCTCCATAAGGCACAAAAATCTGGTCTCCTTCACAGCTGCTCGGGCAGAAGTCACGCAGTGCTCCCAGTCCTCATGTGCCTGCATCAAATGGATGTACATTCCTTTCCCAGAATACAGCCAATCAAAGAGCCTTCCTTTACCTAATCATATTATTTAACTGTGTGATTTATCAGGGAAAAGTGCTGCAGTGTTGATTGAGGATGGAGTATTTGCCCTCTTTTTTCATCCCCACTGCCGGGCATTTGGCAGCTCAAGTGTCCCTGCCCCTAGGAATTTGCCATCCAAGGCGAAAAACACCTAAAAAAATGCCAACGGCTGAGGGTTAGGGGCTTAGCCCGGGGTTGGGGGGGGGGGGGGGGGGGGGGGCACCCCGAGATTCTCTCAAAAGGGGGGCGGGGGGGCAATTTTGTAGCCACTTCTTAAATACATTTCTTTTCTCGTTTTTTTCT